ACCTAGGTCTCATCTGCAGCATCAGAGGGATTTAAACCCGTTTTGTGGTAGCGTAGCATATAATCTAGACAAGTTAATCACTATTCCGCATATCCACGAGTGCCTTTTGGTCACAGGGCAGAATTGAACTTAAGGAAGCTCGAGCATTTCCCATATCAGATTCTGTGTTTGGATTGTCGATAAAGCAAAGTTGTATTTGCTATAATAATAGATTATGCTATTTATTTTTCGTTTATAAGTAAGTCTTCGAGACTACCAGTAGATCATATATATGAGATGTATCCTCTTATTTCATTAAGGTGATGCAAGGCTAATAGTTGAATGTTACCACAATACAATGAGTAGTCTTTAAGATTCCATTGAATTTCACATAAGATTGCTTCTCGAAAAGGCATTCCAATTCAGGCTGGAATGCAGTTTCCATTTCACCCGAGTTTGATTCATTTTATGCGTGGTGTGACTAAGATATACGCTATAAGAAGAAAAATTGATTTTGATGAATCACCTGAAATATCAATGTTATGGAGACTTTTATTTCGCGTGAAAGTGCATGGAGAAGAGATTTGTTGATCGATCTCTTCATCATGCACTTTCACCCAAAACAAAAGTCTCCACATAAATGTAGAATACCTTTTTGGAAGTGTCTCTGTGTAAATCGCTTGCATCTTGAGACCTGAATTTTCGAGAAAGTTCAGCAATTAGTCCTTTGCTATAAGCAACCTTGGCAACCGAAACACATGTCAGATATATGAGTTGTAATCACACTATTTCTTTTGAGGTGATGAAGGAGTGGTAGTTGATTTTTCCCCAATGATATGAGTAGAGCTAATGTTTCCATTGAATTTCACATAGCTTTGTTTTCCCAAAAGTGTTCTCCTCCAGGCTAAACTGGACTGCAGTTTCGACCTCGCCTAGTTCTTATCAATGCCCCAAGCAGGATTCGAACCATGACAGTGTAGCGTGTGAGCTTGACACGAGTGTCGTTGGGTCACAGGGCAGATTTGAAATTCAAGCATTTTCCATATCAGATAATATGTTGGGATTGTCGATGAAGCAAACTTGTATTTGCTATGGCAATCGACGCCATTATATTTTTCGTAACTGAGCAGCTTTTCGAGACTACTAGTAAATGAGATATATAAGTTGTATTCACCCTATTTCGGTTAAGATGATGATGAGCTGGTAGTTAATTTTTCGACCTATTCGAGGTCGAAACGGCAGTCCAGCCTGGATGAGAACACTGTTTGGTAAAGCAAGCCTCAATGAAATTCAATGGAAACATCAGCACTACTCATACCATTTACTGATAGTCTCGAAAACCTACTTACTTACGAAAATAATAAACATTTGTCATGCCGTAAATCTCCTAGTGGTAGCGCAACTTACTGAATTCAACTGCAGTCTGTCTGTGTGCGTCTGTATGTGCGAGTTTATGCTTGCATGTAGGCTTAATGTTGGCATGGGCGTATCAACACACACCAGTTACACAATCGTGGGTCTAGGAAATGTGTGAAAAATGTATGTGAAATAGGGTGTGATTGCTGTACTTACCGCGAATTCCGGTTGGCTCCAGTAACTGCAGTGGGTGTGGCTACCTGTTTGTAGGCCACCAGGTCTTCGGCGTTTACGTATATGCCGTAGTTGGCGCCACCACTTGCAGACCCTGAGGCTGGACTCAGTCCCAACACATCAGCCAAGTTCCCCTTTTCACCGACCGTCAACCCGACCCTTTTCCCTCTTGCCTCATCACTTCCGCCGTCTGGCAGTGCTTCCCCAGGCGCACTGTATCGTGTCGACCCGTCGCTACTCACCAGTAGCCTTGACGTGGGCCCAGCTCTGATGCTGTACATGTCGAGTCCAGGGCCTCCGGCCGGAGGTAGGCCGAGAGGCAAGAGGGACTCGCCACTTTTGACCGGGGCAGACTTGCGCATCTGCCCCGCCAACGGTGTGCTGTGAGCCGAGAAGCTGACTCCACGAGCCCCGCCAAAGGTGGGATAGCCAGTGTGGAGTCGTAGAGCTGGCGAGATCGGAGTGCTTCCACAAAGACCAGCCATGTCGGGTGACAAGGCGGATCGGACGGCTTGACTGTCGGCCGGTAGCCTCAATGAACCGTAACGAGGAGGCAGAGAGGTTTTGTCGCTACTGTAGACAGCAAGGTTGTCCAGGTTACTTGTTGACAGCCAGGGTGGCAGCTAAACGGTCCGGAAATAGAATTTTGTCAATACAATTTTCTCGTTGTGGCCTTTACACAAAAATCGGCAAACTTCAGCCAAGAGGGTAGGGAATAAATCTTAATTTACGAGTGTTTTTGTTTGCAACAATTCGCTAACAAAGAGCTGTACTGCCTCGACATGTCCAGTCTACTCTACGCTGGCCAACCTTTACAGGATTATTCGTGCCAGCGACAAAAGCTCATAAATTACTCTGAAATACCCTATAAGAACCTATTTGTTGATTTTACAGATAATGTAATTTAACGGTAGTTTATTAGTATTATTTACTGAGGTAGTAATTATAATTTATATTTATTATAGTGTTTATATCATGTTATTTGTCGATTTTTTAAAAAGAGTTGGTCTTCAAGGCGTCTCTTTATTTACAATGCTACAGTTCACATCTATTTCAGTCGAAAGTAAGTTTTGAAGAGATTCTAAGGTTCTGGTTGACGCTATTCTTAAGACTTTCTGTGAACAAGTGCTAAGTCTTCCTCTGTTATTTGACGGACATCCTCAAAATACTACGCAGAGTACTTAGTTAAAATATCTGTCACTGATTAGCTAATTGAGGCCATTACTATTGCTTTCCTACCCTTATGTAAACGCTAATGTACATGTGCAAAATGCTGACAAACAACATGCTTTAAGCAATGCGCTTAATACCTCATCTATAATAATAGATAAAACAACAAAACTAATAATAATAATAATAATAAACTAAGGTAACGCTTGATATGAAGACCATGATCTTGTCTTCTTTCGATTTATAGAAGTGGGTTGACCTCGTTGTCGCAACTTGGTCTTGTTGTCAGGGCGACTTA